TGATAGGGATGAGCCGAGGAAGTAAAAGAAGTTAAAGAAGAAATGGGGGAAACTTAGTATTTGAAAAAATATGAGTGACATTCCACATTTTTCAACATGATGGCTATTGTTATAAGTGACAAAAGAGATGGTTAAATTTATAGAGTTCGAAAAAGCAAGAACAGGATAAAATAAGAATTGCTTTATAGAAAGCTTTTTGGACCTTGTACCAGCTTGGCAGATATATGCTACGGTCATCAATAAAATAATGTTAAGCAGAATGACCGAAGTGATATAATAAACCTAGGAAATGTAATGAAAACAGAGGTTATATTGGTATTGTAGGCTGGGACAGATATAAAAGGGTGACCTAAGGTGGATTTAAAATCAGAGTTATTCCTTTACTTACCCGTCAATTGTATACCTCAAGAGTATTCTTCAAAGTAGAAAAAAGATATATTTCCCAGTAGTTTTACCTCCTCGACGATGCTCATATCTGCACAAAGCACTGATGAGACCCAAGATAGTTCGAAAGGTATAAAACAAATTGAACTGGGCAAGCCAGCAATTAACTCAAATTTGTCGTTTACTGTTCTAATCTGAGGCCTATCAATGCAGGTATGCTGAAAGATCCGAAAAAATTGTTCTCAATACGTTAATATCGTAAATTGTCACAACGAAACAGAGTTTATTTTGCCTTGAGTATCACATGTATACGACTCTATAGTACTTGAACAGCGTAGTAGTGGCAACATGTTACTTCATGGCAAGCATGACCTTACGAGGAAAATGATCAAAATCAGGCAAGAGAAAAGGGTGTATTCCAGACTAGAAAAAAGGGACCTTTAAGAAAAATCGGCAGTTAAGCCTTCTATGAGAACTGTATTCTCTTTGTTGAGTTTACTTCCAATTCAAGTGAAAGTGTTTGATAAAGAGACTTGAGGGTCGATCCCACTAGAAGAATAGGGCGGATTCCATTTGACCATTTTTCGATTGGCTTCACTGAAACATCCTTGTTGAGGAGACCTTCACTTCGTATGAGAGTGCATGGAGAAGAGATTCGTGGATTGAACTCACCAGAAGAGGACGGCTCAATTCCGTTGTACTGTAGCCGTTCGGCTTTAAAACGGCGTTCAGTTCGACTCAGTCCACGAGACTTCCCTCCTCCCTTCGGGTGAAAACGGGTTGAGCTTTTGTTCATAAAAGGATGGACATCATCAGACCTGGGTCTCATTCCTTTAAAAGTCTCACGTTAACACTAGGGCAAGAAGAATACCCGATTCTATCATATCTTTCGTATTTGAGTAGAGTTTCGAGAATACCAGTAAATCAGTAATATGAGATGTATTCACCCAATTTCTTTTAAGGTGATGAAGGACTGGTACTACTACCAGTAAACGAAATGGGATGAATACATCTATCATATCTTTTATATATACTCAATAAAGCAAAATAAAATTGAAAGGCCTAAATAGATATAGAATGATTTGGCCGAGTATCTTTTTTATTGGTCGTGCTACTTTAGTTCGAGCGATGGACGATGTCTCGTGGACTGCGCCACCTTAACGTCGTATTACAGCCAAACGGCTGCAGTACAACGGGATTCAGTCATCGCCTTCAAGTGAGATCAACCTACGAATTCCTTCTGTATGCACTTTCATACGAAATGAAGGTCTCGTCAACAATGTTATTTCATGAGATGCATCGAAACCCAGTTGCTCTTCATATCTACAATGAAACATTCTTATTGACACTGCTTCCGAGGTAAGCTACTTCGATTTCAGTGAAAAAGGTCTTGTGAGAAGACTTTCGGTAGGCGTAAATAAATTATCCTTATAGAAATGTCAGTTCAAGTGAAACAATAAAAGAAGTGAATTTTTTTTTCATTCATACAACGTATGAATTGTGGCCTTAAATCGTTCCACAGAGCTATAACAAGGCCCACTAGCCTTTACAGGAGAAATCGTAATAGACGGGAATGCAGACTAAGATACCCAGTATAAAATCAGTCAAATGCGTGGATAAGTTGAAGAATAGTAATTTTAACAAGCCGAATTGTCTAGATTCTAGTACTATTTGCATAGGTATATAGAAAGATAGTTGGATGAAGAGAGAACAAAATATGCAAAATCTTTAGAAGATTAGGAAGAGTTTTTGAAGTTAAATCGATGTTACTCTTGGAGATCAAACAAAAAGGCCAAATTATATTAACTTTTTGGCGTCTGGATAATCCAACTAATATAAGTAAACATAAGATAGCCTTTTCTGCAAACGCTGATTCCTACAGCAGGAATAAAAAAGTTGATGATAATTTAGAAATCGATGAGTAAATAAACTTATTTGAGCAGCACAATATTTTGTAAGTAAATTAATTTTCTGCTTATACCTATAGCATATAAATGGCATAAACGTTGTACTACCCGCTATAATATGCATATTTACTCAGCTACAATTCGATTACTTACTACAATAGTGGTATAACGCTTTAAACAAACTTGCAGATTAAAAAGAAAGCGAAGTTTCTGCAATTCTTGAAATGCATCTGGCTTACATCGAAAAAAATGCTAGTTGAATAAACCAAATTTGTGATGAAAGAATTTCATTAAAAACTATCTTCTTCATTGGGTTTAGCAGCACAAAAACATCCATTTGATCTTATATTCTAAACATACATAATGTGATAGAAATTAAATTTCACAGTGCTGATAACCTGTTACAATAAGTAGCAGGTGCAGACATAAAAGGATACTAAAGTGTGATGAAAGGCACATAATGCATGGTAACAAAAGAAATTGTGGTGAAGATAGCATTCACTGCTAGCCCTAGAGGTAGAAAAACGAAGAAAGCAAGATAAAAATAAATCATGAGAGTATTTCCAAATAGACTGAGAAGTGAATCCTTGAGGAGTCCGTTACGATCGGATTAATGCCAGCCACATTATATGGGAAGTCGATCGGAAGTAATATTGGTAGTCGAGTCTTGTCGAGAGTAGACTCAAGACTGTTGTGCATGATATCATATTAGCTCTAAGGGAAGCAGATTATAGCTGGACACGATTTCACGGGCATCAGAGAAATATTTAAAGCAAACAGTCAGGTTCAAATGAAACCCCAAGCATACAGAGTTGTCTACGTTTCTGAATCGGTCTGTGAGGATCTTCGACTAACATGCATTGCAATCCTATTCAGGTTGTAGCATACACGTATTTACAAAAATATCAGGAACACAAGTTGAATGGGGTCAAAATCACGCCAAACTACACCATACCCAGAAAGTATTGATAAGGCGTTCACGGTAACAGGAGGCAAGGGGACCATCTGGATAGCGATACGATTGCGCAAAGCTGGATAATGACTAGTTACTACAGCTTCAAAGGTAGAGCGAAGAGTGGCAGCGTCCGCACGCTTGCTTGACAGGTCAGTGCCATCATCCTGAAGACAGCCTGAAATCAGAAAAGAATTAGGAAGAGAGCATAAAGGTATAATTTTAGTGGCCATAAAGAAAAAATCCAATCAAAATTGTAGAGAGCACTCGTTCCTACTACGTTAGCCAGTTAAGCCCAGTGGCTTGCATACAGGATGGGATTTTGGTATAAAAGGCCAAATAATTGAGGTATTTTGCCAGTTAGAGTCTGATAAAATATAAAAATATGTCCTTAACTCTGCGCTTAAAGACCAAGATTTTAATATAAATATAAATATA